TAGCTCATCTGCCTGGAATCCACACTGTTTATCAGACATTGATACAATTGAGCGGGTCCAGAGGGATTTCACTAGAAGAGTACTCCACTCCTCTGCTGACAATAGAATCCTTTACGCCACCAGGCTCGAAATTTTGGGCTTGGACAACCTAGAACTACGCTGTCTAAGGTCTGACCTAAGCATAATAACAAAATTGTCTGCTAAAGTGTCCTACCTGTCAACATCTAGCTTCAACCTTAATAATACATAGGCAAACAATAGATACAAACTCAAGGTAAGCTGCTCCAAACTTGATTGCAGAAAATACAACTTCGGCAACAGAGTGGTCAACGCCTGGAATGCTCTACCTGATCTGTTGTTACATCCTCTAACTCCCACAGCTTCAATCTCAAACTGTGCACCGTGGACTTCACCCCATTCCTAAGAGGTCCGTAAATGGGCCGTACATAAGCGCACCAGAGTGCCTACTGTCCCTGTCCTACTGTCCCCAATTATTTGTACTCATTTCCTTTGTTCATATCATTGTTTATATTTATACCTGTTATCTTGTGCATGTTTGACAAACTAAATAAATAAATAAAAAATAAAAAGAAGGCAAAGGCAAAAAAAGCACCTTGATTAGGGAAGCAGATTCCTCTCAGACTAAATTCCCTAGGCTTTGCTGCAAAGGTGCCCACATTCACTGCTCCCTCAGTACCTCCTTCTTTCAGTAGCTGCTTCTAGTTTTATCAGCAAAGGTGAAGTAACTCCTTCAGCTCACAGATGCTTGGATCTAAAAAAAAACCACATCCCTCCATCCATTGTAGTATATAAGACTTCTTGGGGTTGAAGAAAGTAAAGTATGAGATGACCTGTTTCATGTGAATTTGGGGGTCTATGAAAAAGCTAGCATTTTCATGGGTTTCCCACATGTAAATAATGAGAAACTCTGCCCTCAGTTCTATGTAATTGTAGCCAGAGGAGACTTCAAAGTCTCAACAGGCTGTTCACAGGTTATCAACCTTTGATATAGAAACCTTTTTACTTTTGTTGCGTTTGGCCAGGGAGGAACATCATGTTTTCGGTTACTCTCTCTATCCTGTGCTTAATGATGTTATAAGACAATCCAACAGTTATCATTTCAGCAATGAGACCCCTCAGCTCTGCCAGGGATTTATGGCAGCTTTTTTGGAGGAGTATTTTGAAAACGGCAAAGAATAAGCCACTTTTCAGCACATAAGCACAGGAGTGGGCTGTTATTTGAAGAAAGATGACTGGTGCATTGCTCCTTATTTATTCTCTCCTTCCACAGACCTGCTTTAGGAGAGAAAGCCCAGAGAAATGTGAGCTCATTGTAGTGAAGATGATTGAATAAATAAAGATTTGCCATTAATATTCCTTAAGTATCATGAATAGGAGGATATTTCCAGGCAATTACATCCCTTGGACTACTCCACTTCACCGCAGAGGTACAGGGCCAATAAAAGCTGTAGGTAAACAGCGTTTGTCATTGGCTTACAAGGAAGCAAATAACAGAGCCATGAAACCTTGCCACAGCCCTTAGGACGCATTAGTGTGATGTTTGTAATTTGCCTGCTGGTCTCATATGGAGAATCAAGCATGCAGACACAGAATTCTTCTATCGTAAAATGAAACAGAAGGATGGAAAGGTGATGGCAAGGAAAATGGCCCTCTTCAATCAAGTACCACTCTTGCTTAATTTAACTACTATGTTGGGGCTTTCTATTATTTTGAGACTGCTGGTTTTGGTTCCTTAACTTTCATATGCTTTACTTCCTCACTTGCCTTTGTTGATGTGTGAGGCATTTGGGGCAGATTTTGTGGTAAATATTTATAAAGTAATTATCATGTCCCTCTTGAGACACTTTGTCAGTATATCTTGCAGCAATAACCATAGATTGACAGTATGCAATCCATTATAAAGGAAGAGGCACTTTGCAGTGGTCAGAAGGAACAAAGGCTGAGTAACTCTCTCTACCATTTATTGCTTCCCGCCCTTGCAAAAAGTATTCCCATCATTCTTTTTAAAAATTGCTAAATGAATCAGGGTTATGTTTTCTGAGGTAAAGTACTGTGGAATGGAATTGAGAAAGTACTATAGCCGTGATGGCGAACCTGTGGCACATGGAGTTGTGTCACCTGGCACGCATGATATCATCCATTCCTCTTACAGGTTTCTGGTGGGCATGTGCATGTGACAATCAGCTGGCCTTCGTGTGCGCGGCAGTGCCAGAAACTGGAAGAACTGGTTTTCCATTTTCCGGTACGAGCATGCATGCTGGCTGATTGTCGCTCACGCATGTGTGCCAGTAACTGGAAGACTAGTGTGCCAGAAACTGGAAATTCATTTTCCGGTGTGCACATGCCTCCTGGACAGCTCCTCTTCCAGGTTGCTTCCCAGATGAGTGTGCACATGCTCCCTTTTCGGCACTTGGTGCCGAAAAGGTTTGCAACTGTACTTAGGATTATTATTATTTAGCATGTGGCAATATCATATTAGTCAGGAGACTACAGTTCTAATACAAAGTAGTTGTTTGACTGCTCGTAGCTACCCAGAATGCACTACAGGGGGCAAGCTAGCTCTGCGCTCAAAATGGCCAAAGGCATTTTGCAGCAATATCTGGGGCTTTTCCCACCACCAATACAATTTGGGCATTGCATTCGGGCAGATCTAGCACCAGTTGAATTCATACTGCTGCTGCTGCGCCATTTCCCCCCACTGAAATGATACCTATTTATCTACTGGCATGTAATATGTTTTCGAACTGCTAGGCTGGCAGAAGCTGAGGCAAGTGATGAGAGGACTTGAACAATCAGAGTACCGACCATCTCCAACATCATTAAACAATGGAGCCATTGTGCCTCAATGATATTATAGGAAAATTGCCAGGTTGCTTTTATGTTAAAAAGGATGTCTGCGATTCTATGGGCTATAAAATATTTTCCCCAACATGTACCATATTTTGGGAGTATAAGATGCTCTGGAAGATGCTTTGGGGAAGAAAATAATAAGAAGAAAAAATTCTGCCTCTGCCTATCAGCATCCATGGTATTCAGCTGAGACATGGTAACAAGGTTAGCCAATGAATAGGCATAACAACCAAGTCAGCCAATGAGGGCTATTTGGACTCTGAAATTTGCTGTGTGAGCAAGAAGGAGACAGGAAGGAGCCTGGCTTAGCTGAGAACTGAAAGTGAAACTGCTTGTATTCTGCTTATATTTACTGTATTTACTGGTAATGTATATTATTATTATTTTGAATCCCGCTGAATCAGTTACTGTGCTTTCTGAATGTGATTGCTGCT